TCCCTAGCTGTCGCGGGCTGGTTCGACTGGTTCGGTGGGTCGTGAGCTGGCCCTCCATCAGTAAGGAGTACATAGCAATTGCAATTCAGAATATCAAGCGGCGACTGTGTCCAAATAGAAGAGAAGCAACTGAATGGGAGGAATACAATCAATTGAGCTACTCGAACCAAAATTTTGTTGGCAAAGTCAGTGCTGGAAATGTTCATATATGGAACAAGAAAGAACACAAGAAACCTAGATCAGTTCGCTCTGGTTGTGAGAAGCCTACTAGCTAACCTTTCCAAGGAGACTACATTTAATACATCGAGCAACATGTATGCGATTGGAGATGCTAATTTTACCGATTGACCACGGTACAATATATGGTCTTGTGTGTAGTGCACCAACGACTTATCTACAAAACATTGCTTTAAGTGTCTCCAAAATTCCACAGATGAAACTCTAAGTTCCGCTAACTCTACCTACCAATCTCGGTGAGTAGATCAAGCTTTCAACTTATTGTATTCTTTTGGTTAATTATTTCATTAGAGCTTTGTGAGTGGTATGAAGTATATATTTCACAATTGTAGTTTCAATTGAAAGTGTGCAAATTTTTGTTTTTCAAAAGAGGTAAACAAAGTAAGTCATCAAAGATTGTAATTGATGCTATCATATTATTGCCATCTATTATGATAGCTCTTTTTAAGTTCATTGATCTATTGCCATGTTATGATAAAAGGATCAAGAAAAAAAAAAATATATATATATATATATATATATATATATATATATTCTTTAGTTTCTAATATTGCAAATTAACCTTTTTTTTTGCTTTCGTTGTAGAGAAAAACAAAATTATCCTTGAAGAACCTCCTTCGTAGGATATTTAGGTTGTGTTTGGAAATGATGCAAATGGAGTATAAATCCCAGTTCAGGGTAAATTTACACTTTGGTTCACTTTTTCCTGTATTTAATAACATTACATTTATGCATTAACAAATGGCATATCAATGCATATTTATATTGATAATAAGATGTAAAAATACATTAATAAAAAAGAAGTAAATTTGCATTCAAATGGGCTTTTAATAAAAAAAAGCACATGCTTTATCAGAATTTGTGTTTGCATCCATTACAGATAAAAGTCTACATATTTGCATTTGCACTTATTTGCATCATTTCCAAAAGCAACCTTATGGTCCAACTAGAACAGATTCTTCGTACCAAAATGTTGAAGGAATGGATATGATAAAATAGTAATAGTATCTCTTGAATTGCAATCGGTTCCGAAATGAATGTTTTCTTGACTTCAATTAACGTCCATGACTGAATCTAGGCTGTACTGTTTTGCTTGACAAAAAAAGTTGAGGGAAAATTCTTCAGGAATTTCACAAATTTTGTGAACTTTCCCTCAACTTTATGTTTTTCTCTTGTTACATTTTCTATCAAACCAAACACACCTTTAGTGCCATCATCTGTTATTGGTGCATCTCCTCAACTTTTCAATGCACAACATGAGAGGAAGCTAATTAAGGCCAAACTTATACAAAATTAGAAGAGGCTAGCAAGCTCTATTCAAGGAACTCTACTTGGCGAAACTAAGTAAAAGTGAAGAGGCTAGCAAGCTCTAAACAAGGTTCATATGAAACTTCAACATAAAAATCTTGTAAGACTCTTGGGAGGTTGTGTGGAAGGAGAAGAAAAGTTACTCGTCTACGAATATATGCCCAATGGAAGCCTTGGTGTTGTTCTTTTTGGTTAACATTCTTTTCTTGATATTTTTGAATTTAATTAGATGTTGAAAGAATACAACATAAATTAGAAATAGGTACCAAAATCCATTTTTCCTTCCATATCTCAATTGAGATCTAATGCATAGTATTTCATATTTTGTTTAGCCAAATGAGAGAAGACGAGCACTACTCGATTGGATAAAAATGATTTAACATTATTGTTGGAATTGTTCGTGGAAATCTTTATTTTCACCATTCATGATCGTCATTCACACAACTGGGTAGTGCCTTACTCAATAAGATCAATAATATCATTGTAGATGCACTGGTGCAATTTGAAGTCATTTTAATCCTCTTATCAGCCATTATGATAAATAATAGAGAATCTTGTGAAACCACGGGTATTCACTATCCAATATCGTCTTAAGCACAATTGGATTGTGCCTTACAACATGAGGTTAATACCACCCTTGTAGATGCATTAGTACAATTCGACATCATTCTGGTGCCCATATGCCTCATAATGGAAAATAATAGAAAATCATATGATACCTCGAATGTTCACCATCCTTAGGACACCATTGTTGCGCATTCTGCCATAAGGTCAAAGCAATCCTTCCAGATGCACTTGTGTAATTTTACAGTGTTTTAGGCCTCTAGTGTTTCTCTATGGCAATAATGTAAAATCCTACGAAACTAAAGATTTTCACCATCTGGGACCGTTGTTCAAACTACATGGTGCCTTAATAAGTTCAATAGTATCATTACAGACGCGTTAGTGCATTTTAAAGGTGATCCTATCCCCCTATGATCTATTATGGTGAATAACAGAGAATCTTGTGAAACCATAAATACTCACGGTTCAAGATCGCCCTAACCACAACTGGATTGTGCCTTATAATAGGAGGTTAATACCACCCTTGTAGATGCATTGACACAATTTGGCAACATTCTAGTGTTTATATGCCAAGTAGTGGTGAATAATAGAGATCATATGATACCTCGAATTTTCATCGTCACATACCATCCTTGGGGCAACGATATTGTGCCTTTTGCTATAAGGTCGAAATAGTCATTCCAGATGCATGGATGTAATTTCACAACGTTCTAAACCTCTAATGTCCCATTAAGGTAATAACGTAAAATCCTACGAAACTAACGATTTTGACCATCCAGGATCATCCTTTAAACAAGTAGGTGGTGTCTTATTAGATAAGGTCAATAATATCCAAGGATCAAAGTATCGCTATCGAGTATTGACTTGAATATGGATACGCTTTGGAAAATATGGATACGAACGAAAGATATGAAAACACATAGATACTCTAGGAAAATAAATACAAATTATGTAAATACACCAATTACACTAGCTTTAAGGTTAAATTAGTCACAAATAAGATATAAATACATAAAAATGTATATTTTAATGACATATATAAACGAATATATTACAATTAATATAATGGGATGCATAAATATCATACAATTTTGTTGATAATCCATCAATCAAGAGTTAAAGACTCATATTATATAGACACAAACAAATGTAATTATTATCTTTTAATTACTATATCTATTATTTCGTATTTTACTATTTTTACTTTTTAACATTAACAAAAAAAAGTCAATTAAATATTAAATTTTTAAATGTTTGGTAAACAATATATTTATTTTTTAAATAATAAATATGTTATTGTAAAATGTAAATCAAAACATATAATCTTAACTTAAAATATTTTACATCTATATATTAAAATTTTTAAAATGCATATCATATGGAAATGCATAATTTTTAATTACTAAAATAATTATTCCATTATCATTTTATTTCAATAAATTTTCTAAAATAATAAATCATTTTTTTATATAAATTTAAATTAGTATAATTGATAGATTCAATATAATATTATATGCTTGAATATTTTGTAAACAAAATTTTATTTTTATAAATAATGAATATGTTATTATCTATTTTAAATTAGAAAATCAATTAATAATTTATAGAAATATATTAAAATTATATATATATATATATTCTAAAATAATGTATGAATTTTAAGTACTAAAATAATTATTTTATTATTAATATTTTTATTTGTATATATTTATTGAGTAAAAAATTAATTGTGTAATTTGATGACATTTCTAATCATCCTATGATCCATTATGGTGAACAACACACAACTTTCCAAAATCACGCATATTCATTGTCCAAGATTGTCCTAAGCACAACTAGATCATGTGAAACCATGCATATTAACCTTCTGTTAAAAAGCGTCATCTAATTACATATAGGATGATTTTGGACGATGAACGTCACTGTTTTCATAGGATTCTTCACTATTGGCCACAATGGACAATTGGAGGCATGAAGGACTACAAAATAGCAAGAGAGAGAGACCTTATGTTAAAAAGCATCATCCAATTGTACATAGGACGACTCTAGACGGTGAACGTCCTTGCTTTCACAGGATTCTTCGTTATTTGCTATAATGGGCAATTGGAGGCCTAAAACGCTGAAAAAGTAGTAGTAGTGCATCTGTAAGGATTATTTTAACATTTTGGCTAAGGGCACGACAACATTACCCCAAGGAATGCATCAAATGATAAACATCTTTGTATCACAAGATTCTTTGTTATTCGTCAAAATGAAGCATATAAGGAGAATAACGTCGCTAAATCGTACCAGTGCATCTGCAGGGCTATGTTGGTCTTTTGTTAGAAAGCGTCATCCAATTGTACATAGGACGATCCCATATGGTGAATGCCCTTGCTTTCACATGATTTTTCGTTATCTGCTATAATGGGCAATTGGAGGCCTAAAAAGCTGAAAAAAATAGCAGTAGTGCACATCTGTAAAGGTTATTTTAACCTTTTGGTTAAGGGCGTGACAATATTTCCCCAAGGATGGCATCAAATGATAAACATCTTTAGTATCACAAAATTTTTTGCTATTTGCTGCAATGAAGCATATAAGAAAAATAACGTTGCTAAATTGCACCAGTAAATCTGCAAGGACTAATGTTGATCTTTTGTTAGAAAGCGTCATCGAATTATACATAGGACGATCCTGAACATTGAACGCCATTGGTTTTAGAGGTTATATAATGGACAATTGGAGACCTAAAACATTACAAAATATTTTATATAAGGTCAAATTAATTTATACAGATGCATTATTATTGTGATTTAGCGACACTTCATGCCTTTAATTATCCATTACGGCAAATAGTGAAGAATCCTGTGAAAATAAATTTTCATTAATGAAGAGTAAAAGTCTGGCTCGAATTCGGTCCGGCCCATAAACAGGTCTACCCAGGCGCCAATATCCTTTCCATGCGACTCACACTCCATCAACACATCCGACCTTATTCCAGAATTCAGATCAGATGGCCGCAACCGTGATTTCTTCTCCGGTTTTCTTTTCGTTTGCCAACCTCCACTGCTCCAACATCCCTCGAGCAAACCCCAAACCCTATTTTCACGCCTTTCGCCTCTTCTCTCACTCTCTCAATGGCTGGCACACCATAAGCCCTAGAACCAGTATTTGCCACGGAAAGGTTTCTCTCTTTATGTCTCTCTTGAATTCTGATATCTATAGAAAGACCAAACTTCCAAACAAGGAGACGATTAAGATATATGTTTTCAGCTTAATGATTGCTCGGGAGAAGAATCGGGGGAGATAGAGGAGACTTTCTTTGACGATGAAGATGCTGACGACGACAGTGAGGAAGATGAGATGGAAAGCAGCGTTGATTTGCTATTCAGGTTCCTTCGGAGCATGTTCAGAAATGTCTCCAAGAGAGCCAAGAAAGCTACACGTTCAATTTTGCCTCCAGCGATATCGCCCCAGCTGGTACTATTGGAATCCTGGCTTCTACTTTACTGTTCTACAGTTTGCATTATACTGTTGTCTCCTTAGATCGAACTGAATTCGTTAAGATGATGTTGCTAATTTCATCATAAAATTAGCACAGAACCGTACCGGTTCTAACTACTTAATTCTCATGTTTTCTGCCCCATCTCTTGTTGTTTAAAGCAACCCCGTTTAGTTTCTCCCCCATTGCCAACACCATCTTAACGAATTAAGTATGTTCCCTTCTACCCGTTGGCCAAGTGAAATTGAGTTGATGGCACCGGTTTGGACTTCAGAGACGTGGGAGTTTAAGAATTAGGTTTGGTGTATCTTAGGTTGCAGACGTGCTTCTGGGACGTTACCTGAATAGAACACAAGAAACAAAACTGAAGGAAGATCTGAAATTCTAGCAGTCAGTTATGCTTTGCAGAGGAATATGTTCTGATGTAAGAGATAGCATTATGTTGACACGAACATAACCTTGGTGAAATGTTACACTGGTGACAAGTCGGGTAAGAGTAAGTCAAACATTAATCCATTCTAGATAATCAAGTAGCCGCAACATGTGAAGAAGAAGAAGAAAGGAAAGAGGGGGGAATGTACTTGTTTGTGACAGTTTGGCCAAGTGAGAACTAATAAGTTGGTGTAGGCTGAAGGTTCTAAGAGGCCAAGAGATGGGGGTGAAACGAACATGGGTTGCTGCGGCAATAAGGAAAAGCTAGTCAAAGTGGAAATGTAGAATGCAATTCATTTAGTAAAAATAAAAATCCCCCTCTCCCGGCAGATGTACAACCTCAATTCCCTTGTGCATTATTTCTGCTTTGCATCAGCTTGTTTCTTCTTCAGTCATGATGGGTGTGGGAGCTCTGGAAATCAATTGGGAACAACTTTCAGTGTATGATTTTGTTTTTTGAAAACAAAAGCAACTGCTGACGTGGCAGTTGTTTTTTGTTTTGAAAAAAAAACATATCAACAAACACCCCCCTTCATTTTATAGTGGAATTTGTTTTTATATGGAACTCTAGTTACTAGGATGGAGTGGATGGGGATATCATTGTGATATTCTGATTAAAAAGGATGGCTGCCTGGGAAACTTTTAAACATGGTTGTATTAAATGTCAAATTAACTGCAGCAGAAAAAACCTTCCTGGCTTGCGGCTTGCCTTACTATCTTTAGAATTGTTTAGGACAGCATCGACAATGCCATTATTCCCTATGCTGTGATCTCTAGAATTGCTTAAGCAATTGCTGTGATCTCTAGATTTGTAAGTGAAAACTTTGCTTATTTTGGCGAAGGAAACTATTCTATTTACTCTAGTTCAAATTGCACTAAGGATTATTTTAATAAATAAATTACACTAATAATTTTGATCCAAGATTGCTGGAAATACCAGTTCAGTTCTATCATGAGAACCGTTAGTCATAATGATGCAAAAGGCTTTAACCTTACACCTTTGCAATGGGCATGCATTTTTTATTCATGATATGTTTGGTTCAAGATTCTGCTATTATCTATTTAAGCTGGTACTTTATTGTCAATACAAGTCATCCTTTCAATTAATCATTAGACATTTTACATTGTTCATAATGAATAAAAGCAGCTTGTATCTAAATTGACGCTAAACCTTTTCTCTTTCTTTGGGGGTGTTGGGCACATACAGGTTTATTTTGCAGTGGATGGAGTTCTTCTTTTGACTTCACTTTCTATTGTCAAAGCATTTCTTGAGGTATGCTAATTAGTAGCTTATGAAGCAGGGTAACTCTGGAATGCTGAGTAATATAGATGCTGGCTGTGTATTAGTTTCAATATCAATCTGGTATGGGGTAAACACTTATTCTGTCACCATAACTATCATTGTCATCAATCTTATATGAGGATGTAGGAGTGGGTTTGGTTCACAAATCCTGTTGCTCCATGCTGTTCTAAATAGGGATTTATCAATGACACACTGAATGTTTTTTATTAGTGTACAGAAATACACATGGGTCTTTTGCCACGAGCAGCAGTGTATTTTCAAAGTGCCTTATCAGGATCTATACTAGTGATACCAAGGGTTTTCAGTTCTGTTGAATCATCCATAAAATATTAATCGAGTATCTGATCATATTCATTTGTAATTGGGTTAAATTTATCTTTTCAATACTCTGTTGCGAGGAACAGCACCTGTTAAATAGAAAAATATGCATTAACTGACCTGGTTGTGAATGCTACTTACAGGTGGTTTGCACTCTTGGAGGTACCGTCTTTGCTGTTATTCTGCTGTTACGTGTGATCTGGGCAATGATTTTTCATTTCCAGTCAAGTGGAAGTAGTTTCAACCAAGGTGGAACCTCCTATGGCACAACACAGCCTGCAACTTGATTTTATCACCGTTTCTAGAAGTTACTGGATGCTTTCTGGTTAGTTTTTCAGTCGTATTCTAGTGTAAAATTCATGTCAATGGCTTCCTGTTGTAAATATGATTAGGATGTTGTTAGAGAGAGCACATAGTTGTGCATATAGGAGAGGCCACATTATTTCATTCATCATTTTCATTAGGAGGGGTTCAAGAATCAATTCTAATGCCAAAGCAACATGGTTGTGCTCCAATTAGCGTTGCTTTGTCAGAGAGGTAACTTACAAATATTAGAACAGGGTATGTACTGCAGTTGAACTTCAGATCCTTAGAGATATTGGCAAACTCTGCCTTCATGTAAAAATGCTTGAAACTAAGTATTTGTTTGGTTCCATGGGTGTTTATGGATAGGCCATTTATTTGTAATTTTTCACTTTAGACGTTTATTTATACTTTTTTCACTTTAAACGTTTCCTGTTTTTGTTGTTTGGTTGGGCTTCACTTTAAACATTTTTTACTCTCCACCTCAGATTAATACCCATTAAAGTGTGCCACATCAGCATTTGGTTTCAAGAAATGTTGGGGCGTTGGGGGAAACAAGAATTTGACGCTTCCCCAAATGCCCTATGGCTATGCACAAAAATCAAAGTATTTAAGTTTTCTACCATTTATTTGATAAATGGTGAAATCAAACAGTTGTTTCATTTTGCTTCATATGCAATAAATGCCAACACCTATGTGGCACTGATGTGGTGATATTTTTTCAATAAACGCCCATGGACCCAAACACAGCCTAAATCTTTGATCTTTGATTGTAATGAATATTTAGTTCTGTTTGGAGTTCCATCATGATTTGTTCCAAGAATGTGTACAAACGGCCTCTGGGTTCTGGAAACCTAAAACTCTCGAGTCTTGACCAAACGTAAGTAAATCACTTCTGACATCGTCTGTATCTATTTTGCAGTAATTCACAGGAGCAAAGAAACAAAGAAAAGCAATCGAAGAAACTCCTCATGTAGTAATGTCTCATCGATCAAAGCTCAAAACTTGGTTACATTAAGCTGGATTGGTAGGCATTACTCTGATGAACCACTGAGAAGGCGAGAACGCTGCCAATAGTGTTGCCATGCTATCCATGTGTATTACAATTTTCATCATATTACCTGTTTTTGATCGCTATCCATCATGTATGCGTTGCCTTCCTTCCTCTGTAAATGCCTTGTGAAATGGAATAATTTCGTTGTAGTTTTACATGTAAATAACTGAGTCGCTATTGTCATATGAAATTCATTCCTTGTTGTTAAGTGAAATTTGAAAGCATCGGTTTACTGGAATGCTGAAACGACATCATATCCCCCAGTTTTATCAGCAAACGGAAATGGCTACCTTTTTTCAGATTTTGAACTTTCTAAAATGCAAAAGGGAAACCACATCAGGATGAAACACTCTATACATAGCACCAAAATCAGACGGCCAGAAATCATCCAATAACCGTGATTGTGCATTGGAAATATTTTAACTGGGACCGATCTAATATGGTGGGTCCTGATCCTTGAAACGTAGGACAAGAGGTATAAGTAATTTCGTTGTTATTGCCTTGTTGGAGTTGGAGGCCCAGACTTTTCTTTTCTATGGGTCCCAACTCAAATGTAGTATGTCCCTGAGAGCCCGACGTCTCCATGTTTAATGCTCTTGTCTTTATCTTTCCTGTCAATCATCATGACCTGCTTTGCCTACCTCCGCTGCATTCACGGGTTAGGCTCAGACGCTCAGTATTAAAGTCCACTTGGTTCCAAGTTTGGGTGCACCGTGACCCATTGCCATCATGGCCTGCTGCAAGCATACAAAAATTCACCAAACCTAACTGCACGATGGAGAGATGGAGCCCTCTCTGTTGACTGTTGGTCAAAGGGTTTCATTGAACAGAATAAAGCACCACAATAAGCACATAGACATAGTCTACGATCACGCCGCGACCCAACTTAATTGGGGGCCTGGGGGGGTTGGGCCTTTTTTCTGCACTTCGAATCATCCCATCCCTCTTAGCAATCCGTAATTGTTCCATTTTCTATTACGGATGTTCTATTTTCTATTAGCAATCCGTAAGAGGGAGAGAATCCCACTCCACCCTAGTTGGCTAGTTCCAGCATCGTAACACGATTAGTAAGTAGGAACAAGTATTATTTTAATCTATTGGAGCGTATTACTATTAGGTCTTCAAATCTCAACCCCCAAGATATACAGTTGACTACCAGTGGGGGTCAATTGGACTGGATTTGGTCCAACCCGATCCAGTACATGTGAATCCATTACAAATAGACCAGGTCCAATTCAATCCAATAAATATTTTGGACCATTTTGGATTGGTCCAATTCAATGTTTGGAGCATTTAATCTGTTCAAATTCCTTTTAATTTAGATTAGTTCCAACCCTAGTCCATTGACACCTATATTCTTACTATTAAACATGTACGTGCATTTATACATGACAGTATCTCCAAGACAAAACCATTTATAATTCATGGACAGTTTTTGAACAGTTATAAGTGGACATTTTCTTAACTGTTATAAATAGGCAGTTTTTGGGGTGAGAATAAAGGACATATATGCCCTTTTTTATACCCGTTGTATGTTGTTTAGATAAAGAGTAAAAATGTCTAATGAGAAATCCAAAAAATGAAGTTATTTACTCTTTTATTAATAGTATAAATATTCTACCAATGAGCCAGATATTGATTCAATCCAACACAATCTAATATCAATTCATTACAAATAATTCAATATGTCTTGTTGGTCTGTCTATCTGTCCAAATTGATTTCCATTGACACCCCTAACTGCCAGTCCACTCGTTTCTGTGACGATGAGATTGCTTGCCTCCAATCCGACCTCGTTTAATCACCTTCACTCTGTGAAACTTCCAGGGCTATAATAAAATCCAAACCTTGAATCAGGATTTATAACTAAGAGGATTGAATGGCTACACAAGGCACGCTAATATATGACAAATATCTAGATTTTTAGAATCCTATAAGCCACGCTAATATATGACAAATATCTTACGTTCTATTGGTTTATTAAACAATGTTTAGGTTGTCTATTAGCAGTATACCATTGCCTTGCTTTTGATTTTTTTTTTGGATACGTAAGCTTTTGAAAGTTTATTCCGGGAATTCAGCAAGGTAAAATGTGAAAACGACACCGCTGTACACGAGCTGGATGCCCCACAAGTGTTTAACGTGAAAGTCTGGGAAATTTGAAGTAGGGTCTGTTAAGGCAGCAGTGTCATCATGTTTTGTACATGAACATTACCCGGTCTCCATAGTCCACACTACCATCTTTCCGTAGATGGACATGGAGTACCCTGATAAATAGGCTCTCCCCTCCTGAGTCCTGCCTGTACGACAAGGTAGAAATCGACACCATAATGATGTTCAATGCACCAATTAAGGTTATCAGAATGGGCACCATCCAAGGTTGCGTTTGGCATTCCTTAAATTTTAAGGACTTGTCTCCTTTTTACCAGTTAAAATAAGGGCTCTTCTCATGGAGATTTCATTTTACAGCTCCTACTACTTCAATTGTTTCCTCCCCTCCTATTTCTGGTCAGAATCAAATTCTATTTCTAGCTAGAAATGGCAGGGTATGGTAGAACTTGGTAATGGACCAAACGAGGCCCAAGTGCCTGTGCAACATACAAGATCTCTTTTCTATATATATTTTTGGTGATTTTAACTTAAAAAATGTATAAAACGATATTTGCCTTTGCAATATTAAATGAGATTCCATGTTCCAAGAAAATCCAAGTTATACCTTTCTCTCATCAAAACAAACATTGATATGCTAATGAAACTTCATAGTTCATAGGTGAAGGCATTTAATCAACGTGAAAGTGCTTCAAGAAGGGAAAAATAATCAAGAGGACAGATCTAGTGAAAAATCTGAACTAATCCAACCTTGATCCCAACTATTCGTGTAGTGAAAATAGTGTTATTATATACAAAACTGCAACTATTTTGCTTCCAAAAGATCGTAGAACATTGGAAAAGGAGCTCCAACACGCATTTAGACCAACTAATCATCAACATGGTCTTCAAACCAAATTCTCACTAACACAGACCATGTAAGTCACTTTGCAATCACCCAAATAAAAAAATGCCCCTTGATGATCTCCACCATCATCATTCACAAGCCTCTCTAACTCTTCACATGCACCTAAACGTTGCACCGAGGAAAAAGAAAAATGAGGCTCAGTTTGGAAATAGTGCATATTCAAATATGTAGAATGCAACTAAACGATATGCCAGTAGGGCATATCAGCCTGTATCGGTATTTTTTAGTTTTTTATTTTTTTTTTTATTTTTTCGAATCTGGTTCAGAGGGACCGGTTTACCCCCTGAACCACTCACCAACCCAAAACACCCCCTGTAGGGGCGTATCGGAAAGACTCCAATATGATATGTATTGACTGACGATATTTTGAACCTTGTTTTGAACTATTTTGTATGTATTTGAAATGTACATATATTTGTATTTGCACCCTTTCCAAACTAAGCCAAAGGAAAAATCAATCCTTTGAACTTCATGCTATGAGAGAGTTATCTTACAAGAACTTGTGTGGGGCGGATTAAGTTAGGAGGTGCATCTGAAGTTTTGTGTATCATTGAAATCCAATCAATCCAAAGGAAATTTTATAGGACAGCTATAAAGCCAGCAATAAAGAAACGTTCATAAAGTGAGTGTAGAGATAAGGGTTTTTTTTGCCCCATTGTTGCAGAGACAAGGATGTTGAGATGGAAAAGTGGAAAGAGTAGAAAATATAGGATTAGATTGAGAGCAATGCTGATAATTTCGAAATAGCCCTAACAAGTGGTAAAATAAGGCAAAGTTGAGACTTAAGATGGTTTAGGCATGTTGTAATACTGTCTACCACACTAGCCGGGGAGTTGGCTGATGCAAACTGATGGTTCCAAAGGAGCTTGGGAATGCATAAAAGGATGTAGATTAAGGTAGTAAGAAATGATATGGAGACTAGACTTTGTTTGACAACTTGTCAGTGGAATAACAAAAACAGGATTCTTCATTCCTATGGTTGATCCCATATGGTTGGAACAAGGCTTTGTTTAGTTGATTTGTACTGATATGCACGACAACCTGTGTTGTTCTCCAAATTAGCACAGGCCCCATGTAATGCCATCAGAAATAATCCAATACTACATTTCCTTGCAATCTGACATTGCATGTATCAAGTCAGTTCCTAGCTTAATGTGAGTTTAGAAGAATATGCAGTGAAGCCTAAATAATTACAATGATGTTTGTCTAAATAGAAACTAAACGGATCAATGATCCTTAATCCCAAACACAGCTTTATCTTTCAGGTGATCTAACTTCTTAATGAGGGTCTCTCAAACAAAATAGTTAGCCAAATACATCAGATCTGATATTTGAAAACATATCTATTTAACATGTGGGTTTTCTTTTAGTCACTTAAATGCGAAAAGTCGCCATTATATGACCACAGAAAGTCAGAAACATCTTGACATCAGATATTACAAGACAAAACTGCGACAGAATAATCTAGATATTTTTGGGCTATGACATTCTTCATGTTTAGTTCTTTTTTAATCACTTCCAATTTACTACCAACTGATGGTGGCTCAGTTGGCTTGGATCTCTGACTCGTAGCAGAGACCTGGGATTAAATTCCTCTGCCATCAATTTGGGGGGG